CTTGTATATTTTGATAATAATACTGGAGACGACATGTATCTCGATTTGGCTTCTCATGTGTGATCTCTCATGTGAATGTTCATTGATGTATGCGACGTTGAACTTGACGAGTACTTGGCTCATTTCAGCCCCCATTCGTCCCCTAAACACCTCGGCGCACGACACCCATTTGATGTGCTTCGCATATGGTAAAACAAAAGTGTCAAGGCTTGCACACAATCTTCAACTCTGCCAGCTTCCATTTACTGAAGCGCCAGCTAAACATTCAAGCGAATGAATAGAGAAAGCTGGATTCACTTTTTCTTCCTTTCTTTTTTTTAAGATTCATTCATTTTAACACCTTGCCCCCAATTAAAAAAAAAAAAAAAACAGAAACGAAAGAAAAAAAAAAAGCGAGCCCCGATCCGTAACATCACTATATAGACTATAACAAAAGTCAATGGGCCTCACTCCACTACAAACACATTCCAAATGTATCTGGCTCCAGATCTACATGTACGCAGTGCTGGTCTGGATGCATTCAAATTCCAAAATTGTTGGTGATTCCAACTGCATCTAGAATCTGGATCAAAACCAGACCGGGCTGAAGGACCCCAAACCCTAGGCTACCAGAGTGGCCCTGGAACACTTGCCCGACCGGGCCAAAAAAAATAAAAAAAATAAAAATTAACTTTTAAGTTTTAATTGTACTTTTTTTAATGTTAAATTTGGTAAAGAATTTCGATGTGACCCTGAGGCAAATGTTGTTCATTTTATTTTTCTGCATAGCAATGATAGCATAGTTTCTTTTCGCTTTCTTTTTTCTTTTTTTTCTTTTTTTTCTTTTTTTAATGCCGGGGCCTTCCCTGGTCCTTGCACGGCCAGGCTGCACAGGAAAACAGGGTGACCCGGGCGGCCCGGCTGGTAGCCTACCCTAAAACCAACTGGTCCAGACAAGGAAAAATTGAGCTGCGAGCCAGTGCCAGAGCGATTCCGATGCGAAAGTTTTTAGACAAAAAAATTAGGTCATACCATGGTCGCCCCGGACCCGGACACAGACACCGGACCCGTGTCTGGATTAAACCGGACATCCGGACCCGGGCAGTCCGGTTTGGTGTATCAGTCGTCGGTTGTCCGGAGGCAAAAAAAAAAAAAAAAAAAAAAAAAACAGGACACGTACACAGACACACACAGGTTTGTGGGACTGGTCGGACATGCTAATGAAGTAATTATTAATCATATTTCCCCTGAAGACACACACAGCTCTGCTGTATCTCGACTGAAAGTTGCCCCCCAATACAACGATGGCACTGCATCGGGCGGAACTTCGATGACAGCTCTGCTGGACGACGCGACTTCAGGGGCTGCTACTCGTTGACCGGGGCTGCCACTCTTCGACGTTCGAGAATCGTGTCCTCCACATGTTTGAAAATTGGGTCCTCCCGCCGGCGGGGCTGCTACTATGCTCCCGTGTTTTCAACTTTTCATACAGAGGGCCCTTTCAGGGCCGGTCCGTTTGGGGTACAGGTTCGCAAAAAAAATCAGCAATATTTTCTGGGGTACCCCAGGCCCAGGAAAACGGCCTGGGGAACCCCAAAAAAAATCCGGATTTTTTTTAATCGGGGTCCAACCGGGCCCTCCGAACCGGACACCGGACTGTCTGGATCGGGATCTGGACGTCCGGTTGGCAACCATGGGTTGTACTCACAGTAGCACTTTCCTGGGTGCACGTGATTCACATAGCTTAGCTTAGCTCAGTTGAGTGCATTTCATTCGAATCACTATTGTTAATTGGAATCGTCCTTTGACGCTTTGACTACGATCTTCTACATGTGTGTACTCTGTGTGCGAATCTGAATCGTGTATGAATGTTGTCAGTTTTATAAGTTGTGTGTGAGTCGATATAATGTGACCGCTGCAACGGCCAAACCTGGATGCACCTGACCACAACTGCGTCCACAGATAAGTTGAAAAAGTCCTTGTGTGCGTATGCCCTTGACGTTTCAAGGACAACTGTTTAAAATAGAATTCAGTTTCAGACATAGAAGAGAGCCAACCATAAAACTGGCACAGCAGAAAGATACCAGCTTTGGAGATCAGAATGGAAAAGCACGCAAAAGGAAAGGAATAGCCAGGTAAAGAACAACACTTTTTTCTCCCCCCACCTCTTATCCCTCACACCCCCCCCAACCCTACCCTGTAGACCACCCTTCCCTCTCGAAGGACTCCCACTTACATGCATCACAGACAAGATCGATAAGGTTCCGCTCATGTGGTGGCATCTGCGTCTCCTGGAGCAACATCCGCAGAAAGCAGAAAAAGCATACTGCAATTCAGTAAACAACGCTAGACATACAGAACTCGCAAACAGTACTTTATTACGCTGCCGCTACAGGTTTCGCTTCCCTGCCAAACGTTAGCCACTCGTGACAGAACAAATGAAAGACCAAATGAAAGAACAAACAAAAAAACAAACAAAAGAATAAACGAAAGAACAATAACACAAACACAAAGGAAGAAAAAGACATCTGCTGTGATCCTGCTCGCACCTTCAAGCATGACAGAAGCCAGGTTCAATGTCCATACACAAGTCAAAACGCAATGAACTCGTCCACACCCAAATCATGAAAGAAAAAAGAAAACTTCATACAGGGGAAGCAAAAGTACTGATTCCACACAAGAATTCACGCACCAAACCTCTGATTTTCTATGTCACCCCACAACCTCCCTTCCCCTCAATTAGCTCCTCCCTGGCATCAACAGCCAATGATAAACGAAACACGATTTACATGAAGGCTGAGTGCACTGCGAAAAAGAAAAAGAAAAAAACAGTATGAGCATACATGGAAAAGGGAGAACAGACTTGAGTGCACCCACCAGTAGGACCATACTCTAATAGAGGGAGAACAGACTGCAGTACAAAAGAGAAAAACCATAGATGTGACCAGTTCGGACCTTTGCAGTTCAACAGTGTAACCACACCCTGAAGCCCTGCGCCCTATGTCACTGTTGCGCTCTCTCTCTCTCTCTCTCTCTCACACACACACACACACACACACACACACACACACACACACACGCGCGCGCGCGCGCGCGCGCGCGCGCGCGCGCACAGCCAGCTCCACATGTCAGCACGTCTGACGACCAGCACATTGAGCACAACAAGAAATGAAGACATGGGAAGAGCAACCAACTGGCTTCCAAGTGCCCCACTGTCGGCAATGCAACTCTAAGCAGCGAAGTGTCTGATCATTCGGGAAATAACAATTGCAAGATAATACACCTCAGGTGCATGATTGGGGAGAAAGCAAAGCGGGGAGTGGAGGCAGAGAGAAAACCAAGAAAGAAAGAAAAACTCATTCCTTGAAAACGACTATCTGCAGACTCAGCCATGCCCTCCTGGTGAACTGCCAAATATAGCTCAACAACGGGCTTAACAACTGTACCTGGTCAAGTACATTGCCTGAGATATCGTGGACAAGCGGGCGGTAATCTCCAAGGAAGAACTGCATCATAACACAAGTGGCCAAAGGAGTCCCACAACGTTAAAACAGGGGGAATTAAGTGACGGTTGCAACTGAGAACATGTAGCCAACCTGTGCCCTGTTCCAATGTTTGGCCGTCCTTCAGAGTTTTTCCTCTTTGCATTAATGAGTGACAGCATCGGGCCAAGCAAACTTTACAATCCTCCTTGTCCTTCATGACATCTGTTCAATTTGGAACGATACAGAGAGGATTGGCATGGCCCCTGTGCAAAGACAGACTCGTTTGTTCCTATTTTAATTGGAGCGCCTGATATGGCCTTTCCAAGTTTCCACGATTAAACAATATCAGTTTTTGCAACTTTTTGGTTATTACCACCATCATTATCATTATTACTTAAGTTCTGCTTTAGTGGAAGTAGGTGCTGGTACCGGGTGGACGGTCTACCCACCTTTAAGCGGTATAACCAGTCATTCTGGAGGAGATGCGGATTTAGCTATTTGCAGTCTTCACTTATCAGGCGTTTCCTCAATATTAGGTGCTATCAATTTCATTACGACTATTTTTAACATGCCTGGCCCAGATCACAAGGTGTAGGTGGGATACTACACCAGACGTGGCAAGGCACGAAGCAATGTCTTCTCTGTATTTACGTTGATTCCTGGGGTACTTACCAGCACATGTAGAGAACCTAAGTCCAATATGGACCTAACACACCTGAAGTGCACTGCAGACTCAATTGCAATGACTTGCTGTTTCTGGTTGCCTGTAGCCTCTCTCTGTCGAGGCTGTACCATAGATAGGACAGATTCGTAATTTTATTTGGCTGAGGGCGAACCGAGTGACCTGCCTGTAAGGAAAATCCGTGAGGGACATATCTGTAAATTTGGGAAAATACAGGCCCGTACTAACTGGATTCTCCTATAGCTACCCTAACTGCGAATAGCAGACCCGGACTATCCCTAGGACAGACAGGCCCTATAGGCCTATGCTGATAGACGGTCCTATAGCCTATAGCCGGGTAAGGTAGAGGCCTGGAGGCCAAAACAGAATCGGTACCGGTCGGTCAGTCAGTCCGGTCTAGGTCGAGTCTAGGATAGTTTCGTCTATAGATAGGATGGGCACATCGGTTCAGGGCTTTTGGCAGTTGGTACCGAGTACATCACTGCTGTGCTACGCGTGAACCGGAAGTGGTGACGGCTCAGCATGGAAGGAGACAGGCATAGCCAGGCCTTCGGAGCGCCGGCCATAGCTGGGGCCTGCGCTGTACTCTGCCAGCATGCGGGGCTGTCAAAGGTCTGGGTTATCGAGGTCTGCTGGAGGCGAGAGAAGTTGGTGCCCTGCTGGACCCTCCTCCGAAGTGGGGTTCCAGGGTTGTGGCGCTGCAGCCATAGCTGTAGCTTCTTCCTCAGAGGTCATCTTGTCAGGATTTGGTGGCGCTGCTGCAGACTTCCATCCGGGAAGTCTTCCGACACTTCGTCATCATCAGATACCGTGGCGCTGGTCTTCTTCTTCATTCTCTGAGTGGCGCTTGGCCTCAGAGGCCCGTTTCAGGGTGGCGCTTCCCTTTGGAGGCTGTATCTGGGTGGCGCTTGATGTTTCAGGGGCTCAGGGGTGTTACGGGTGGCTACTCGGGGTTGGGGAGTGAAGCGCTGCTCATTTCTGAGCAGCGCACTGTGGGTCTGGAGTTATTCTGACAATTTGAGACTCTGAGTGTAATAAACAGTGTGATACTGGGTTGGACTATCATCGTTTCATTGTTTCCTGGATGTGGTCTACTCGGCTTTTCTTTACGACTGGTTGTGAGGATTGAGTGGAGCGAATTGCACTTTCAGTGTACCCTGTCATATCGCATGGTCAAGTCTTCCGCTGTGTTTAATCTCTCCCTGTGCAGGGTGATACTTCTATCCTCTCCCCTTCCTTCTGTGTATGTATGGGCATACCTGGCAGTCTATGTGTGCGAGACTTGGTCTCAGACAACAAACAACCAGAATCATAACACAATCTTAAATGAAAATGAAAAAGATGAGAGCATACGGCGGAACCGGTGATTCGCGCCTGCTCTGGTGAGCGGAGTGAGTGTGTTGCATACTCGTGAATACTTCAACAAGTATGGGCAGAACCAAGAGATCAACCAATATAGGATGAGCATGTATGCAGCGGAAGTCTGATAAATGGACTGACTCACATAGACTGACTTACACAGATATCACTCAACACACAAACAATCGTGAGATGGTGGGATCTTAGCCAATCATAGACAATGCTCAGGCCCCGTACTGAAACAGTTTTCACCTTTGGCAGTAGCCGATGCAGATCCCAGGGGTCGATCCCTTGACCTCAGCTTACCTGTGTACAGTATCTGCACAGTTCCCTGGAGTTGAACCCGTGACCTGCACGATAGCCAGTGGTAAGTAGGT